TGGGGTCCTTATAGATATAAGACGTCCATTCTCCCACGTCTATACCGTTGTTTACGGTTGCATCGACGTCAGAGCTAGTGTCCATTGACCATATGACATACGCCGGGAACTTGATTTCAAGATACATGATCCTTGGGTCGCTGCACTCTGCAGATTGCAGCCCCTCTTGCTTGTGTTTGTGGCATAGTCTGTGGCTTGCCTGGGAGACCGAGAGGCTTGGCGCGTTGGATGTGTGGCTCAAGCGTGCTGTGATTGGCCAGCACGGGCCGAGTGTGGCTCGTGAGTGTGGCGCCAATATACGCGACGCGTGTCCCTCTCTCGCGATACCGATATCTGGTGTTGGAATCTTAAACCTGTTCAGATGAGCTTGGGGCATTAGTTTTACTCCAACAAAATCCATATTCCATAGGATTCCTCGGCAAAGTAAAAGAAAATGTCCGAAGGTTGAAACTCAATATTGGGAAAGCAGAAAAGCCTCCTGTCGAACAGATTGAATACTCATAATATTAGATCATCTACAGTATGTAAGACCCTCCCACATACCCATGCTGTCGTTGCTGTAACGCTAGGCGCGGAATGGTAGCGAGAGGGTCAATCAATCTTCGCGATCCGAGTGAGCTCGATCGACCATGGAGCGCAGGACGAGATCTCAAAGAAGATGGCGTGTCAAATGAAGGTTCATATCTTTATGAACTTGGTGTGTGATCCAGTGGCTACAATTGGACCTGGCTTGCCATCGACAAGCTTCCAGATGGTCGCTGTGGTGAAAGCGAGGGTTCCGCCAACCTTTCCTGCCCTGCCCTCAATTTCAATGGTGTCACCATTCTTAGCCCCGCTCAAATACGAGATGTGAATGTCTGTCGACACTCCTGCCTTGCTCCGATTATCCCAAGCTGCGATAGCGATGCCACCGACCCAGTCTATCAGTGTCGCGGAGACGGAGCCATGGATGCTTCCGTGTGTGTTCACGTGGTTCTTGGTAAGCGGCAGCTGCGCGCGCACGATGCCTTTGGAGGCATAGGTCAGCTTGATATCGTCAAGCAGGAACTGGTAAATGGGGCTGCTAGGCTTGCGGCCCTCCCAGAACTGCTGGACATGAGCGAGGATCTCGGGGTCGTTGGCTGCGTCGCTGGACATGGCTGGTGCGGACGCGGGAGATGTGACGCGTGGAGGTGTGAAGATCAGAATGACGGGGCAATTGAAAATAGCGATGCAACGCGCGGCGGGGTCGGCGATACTATTCAGCGGCCGCCCTGCGATCAACAAGCGGCAGCTGTGAAACGGCCAGTACGCCAGTGTCAGCGGCCGGGGACGCCACATAGCCAGTCTGTCGCACCGGACCATGCTTCACTGCAGGCCACGACTTCCCTCAATACTTCAAACCCCAATGTTCGCCTACATACAGCCACCATGAGCGACCCCATAGCACCACCCCCGAGCCCGCCCCCCTCAGCACTCGATCACGAACATGACTCGCTCGGCGATAGCACCGCCGTGACGCCGGAGGCACCAAAGGCAGAGGCAGGCGCGCCTCCATTTGACCTCAAAGCTCTCACTGATCGCACCTTACACTTCTTGGCGAATGCAAGCAATGAGACGCTCGGCGCCTGTCTCGCGGGCCTCGGCGCAGGCACATATCTCATTCTCGGCCGCGTCGGGCTGGTCCTCATAGGCGTTGTAGGCGGCGTAGTCCTCCACGCGACGTGGGAGGGGCACCATGGCGACAGCAAGGAGACAGAGGGAAAGAGCGCCGACGCGCGGAAGCGAGAGCTGGCCGTCGACATCGCCCAGCGCGTGCTCGACTGGCGGAACGACAAGACACCAGACAAGGGCAAGTCCGGAGACGACGGCTACGACTTCAATGTGCAGCTGTACTCCGGCAAGACGCTCGACTACTCAGACTTCAAGCCCGAGACTGCCGCTGCGCTGACGGAGTTGACGGATGCAGTCATTCGTGACTATGTCAAGTATGTCCTCCGCGCAGTGCCTAGATACTGTTCTAATACAACGCAGGTGGTGGTACTCACCCCTACTGCCTTCCGAAGACACTTTCCCGAACTCGTGCCGCCAGACTCTGACCGCCTTCGTGCTTTCCATATCTGCACACCTCTCCCGAAAGCGACCAGCCGACAATTTCCTTGACTTTGTGACGCGCTCATCCTCCTTCATGATCATACTGCTGCAGGAGATTGCCGCCGCAATCCAAGCTTCTCCCGGTGACGTGCCTACCGAAGCGGTCGATATATATCTCAAGATGAAGCGGGATAGCACCCTAGCGAACATCCTCGACCCAGACTACCAGATAAAGCAGTTCAGTGTGGCCGCTGAGGATATCCTACAGAACTATCTGGAGCCAAAGACCTGTAAGTGACTCATATATACAATTATGCGCATACGCTGACCGCACCTACCATAGACAACTGCGTGCCAGCACGGTTATTCCTGCATCAAATCCTCGCGAAGCTTATACTCGAGATGATCGTCGTGAGCTGCTCCAAGCCAGAGTGGATCAACGGGTGGATTGTATATCTTCTGGAAGAGGGCGAGCCCGAGCTTCTCAATGCGATTGACGCAGGCGTCGAGGGCTCGTCTGAACAATTACAAGGTGTCAAGGAGAACGCGGAGAGTGAGTTAGGTGGTGCAGGAACGGCAACCCCCGCTGAAAAGAGGGAGCACAAGCGTGTTATGAGCAAGGCGCAGGAAGCTATGGACGATGCGATGCGAGAAGCGCAGCTCCTGAGCCAGATGATCGCCGAGGAAGACGCAAAGCGACTTAAGGAGCAACAAAAGCAAAGCGCGTCCACATCGACCCTGAACGATGACCAGTCCGAGAGCACCACCCAGGGCATAGTTACTCCCTCGTCTTCCGAGGGCGAAGCGCACGGCGATGTTGAGCACTCAGACTTAGCCATTTCAGGGTTCTCCGGCCGGTCGTTCTCAGAGACAACACCAGCTTCACCGCCAAGGAGTTCTGAGGACCCACCAGCTCAGGAGGTCAAGAAGGCTTTCACGAGCTTCGATCAGCTTGTAATGCCCCAGCCGCCTACTGCGCTTATGGATAACCCACCGGCGGAAAGACCACCACCATTGACCTTGCACAACAGCACAATGTCCATCTTCGATGACAGCATGCCTGGAGAAAAGGGCACGATCAAGGCCAAGCCGACAGCAGAGTATCTCATTCAGATCGAGCCAAAGTCCAATCACCATACCGGGTGGATGACGGCACGCAAGTATGCTGAGTTTGAGACATTACACGAAGTCATACGTCGGATAGCAGCTATCACCGGAACTTCCGGCTTCAACGAAGCACACGCTACACTACCGCCGTGGAAAGGTCACACCAAGGCGTCTCTGCGTGGAGAACTGGAGCGCTATCTCAACGATGCTGTCAAGTACCAACCGCTTGCTGAAAGTGAAGGGATGAAGCGCTTCTTAGACAAGGAACTGGGATCAGGAAAGACCCCTGGTGGTGGCTTCCCAGGAATCGGCTGGGCTGGCCAGACCTTCGACTCAGTTGGCAAAGGGATGATGGGCGTACTTTCAAAGGCGCCTAAAGAGGTTGCTGGTGGCGGCAAGGCTCTGTTCGGTGGTGTGACAGGGGTGCTAGGCAGTGTAGCATCACCACTAGGAGGAAAGAAGAATCGCGAATCGATCAGCAACGCCGCCACTCCGAACGCATCCGGAAGTCCTCTAAGCCGTACATCGTCCAACACGGCGCCGATCCAAACACGACAAAGTAGAGCCGAGTCGACCGTTTCCGAACTACCCACGCATATCCGATCGCCGAGCACGTTATCTCTAGTGACCAAGCGTACATCGATGGACTCTGTGCGCGACCCTCACTCACCCGTCATCGACCAGCAGCCAGGGCGCGAGGCGCCTATGGAACGCCGTCCATCGTACAACCCTGACGGGGACGGCAAGCGTTCGGGGAGGTCTTCCAGATATGGCTCCCGAAGTAACAGTCGCGCACCAAGCATGCGCGAGAAGATCGAAGATCTCAGCCCCATGATGGGAGGTGATCAACTAATCAATCTACCGCCAATGCCTAGCGAGATCTCCGACGACTATAGCACTATGCGCAATCAACCAGAACCAACCCCACCTCAGAAACCTTCGCGGCCATCAACAGACTCCGTGCCCTCACTACCCCGTCGACCCTCGGCCACATCGCTAACCTCATCTCCGGCCAAACCCTTGTCAAGGCCACGCGCAGCAACCACCCACACGCCACTATCCGAGCCCGAAACCACCGTCCTCATCGAGCTCTTCTTCGCCGTCATAAACGAACTCTACACCCTCTCCTCCGCCTGGACCCTCCGTCGCACCCTCCTCAACGCCGCGAAGTCCTTCCTCTTACGCCCAGGAAACCCACAACTCTCCTCCATCACATCACTCCTTCAGACCACCGTGCTTGACGGGAACGCGTCCGACGCCGGCCTAGCCTATCACATCAGAAAAATCCGGGAGAATGGTCTGCCAACCGAAGAAGAACTCAAAGGATGGCCAAAAGAGATGAGCGATGAAGAGAAAGAGAAGTTGAGGGTCAAAGCGAGGAAGTTGCTTGTGGAGAATGGTATGCCGCAAGCGCTTACGAGTGTCATGGGTCAGGCTGCTAGTGGAGAGGCGTTGGGTAAGGTGTTTGATTGTCTCCAGGAACCTAGGGTTGCGAGGGGTGTTATGTTTGGGTTGACATTACAAGGATTAAGGGCTATCACGCAGTAATGCTATATGTAACGGTGTTTAGGCGTTGGAAGAGATGGGGTTTGGTTTTGTGTTGTATATTGAACATTGAGCGCCTGCTTGAGCTTCTGTTCAGAAACGCAGTCTGTCATGATAAAGACGTCGAAGAGTGGGCAATCCATCATCTTCGCAGCGTGCGCACAGAGCATCAATTCTTTGTCTCGGCATCCCGGCTTTCATCAAGTGTTCCCAAATCTGCGCCAGCTCTGTCGATGACATCGCTTTCCATGACCTCGCCTTCGTCTCCGGTCGAGCTAGCCCGCCTTGCTCAGTATGATACCAATGGCCAGGTCGTTGTACTTTGCCACCATCATCTTCATCTCCGCCTTGTGTGTAACAGACATGTTCTTGGAGATGGTCTGGATGACGATGTCTCTCATGCCGATATCCTCAGGAACAGTCGTCGAGAAGACATGGTCGACGGCGATGGGGAAAACGTCCTCATTCCAGAACACCTCATAAGCAAGCTTGAACTTCTTTGACGCTAGCTCTTTGAGCCCAACAACGTCGTATTTATCGGCGATCGAGTACATTTTTGAGTGGCTGAGGAGCTGGGTCGGCGATCCAGGGAGGAGGACTGAGCAGCAATATTCACAGATGAAGGCTTTGCAGGACGAGTGACAGCTGACATTGCAGGCGTGATGAGGGCACAGCACCCAATTGGTACACACTCTCTCTGGACACGTGTGCGGGAAGTCATAGGTGAAATCGCGCAGGTAAGTACCGCTATAAGTAATGGAGCGTTTGATCTTGAGCTGCGAAGCGACCGATACCGCATGTTCAGGATGGGAATCGTCGAAAGTTTCGCCGTCGTACACGCCTAGGTACAGGTATCGTATGAGAGCGGCAACCATTTTTGGCTCGTCTTCAGGGAGATCGATGACGTTGTCTTGAGTTTCCTGGTGAACCTTAGCTTGATTCCACATGCGAAGGTAATCCACATACCTTTCCGCCAAACTTGATAGCTCGAGCGAAGAAGCCGGCGCGTATGCATACGATCATTTTATGAACTCTGTATATGTCATCTCCGCATTTGATAGTGAGATCTGAGTATTCTCCAGAAATGAGGCAGCTGCGGCAGTAATGGTTAGCAATGTTCCTCAATGTTTACATCAATAACTTGCCTTTTGACGGCATCCACGACCTCGGTTTGCGTACCAACTGCCATGTTTGCGTATGATCTTGTTGAGCGGCGTGGAGAAAGGGAACAGATGTAGACGTAAGAGACTCAATTTGTAGAAGATACGCTAGTGAAGATGTACTGCCGCTTACTCCCCGTTTAAGTAGATCATTCAGCGGTGAAGGTGGAAGTGAAGGTGAGGCGCGAGCAGACACAGAACATAACAAACCCATATTTTTCCTGTACTTTGAAGAACAACGCGCAGCTATATATTTCCAGTCTTTGATCTGCAAATACGAGCTTTATGATGTTAGACTGGAGTGATTGCCCCAGTCAAGGTTGTTGGGGGGTGTGCTGTGCTCGCTGCATACAATGTCGAAAACCATCATAAACATGTGGGACTGGTATTCATGGATCCTACACCTCAACCCTCAGATGGTGTCAAGATTTAGATACCGTGTCGTGATCCAGACGCGAGGGCCGGTTGTGCGCATCTCGAAGTTTCTGTAGACATTTTGGTGACTACACTGCTCGAATCCGGACAGGGCAAGAGCCGTGATAAATCGCATTAGCGACATGATATCACGTGCCCGACTGCATAGCTCCTGAGCAAGAGGTATGCGGGCATCAGAACCAATCTAGAGATGCAGGGCATGAATGCAGTGCGCAGGGTCCGTGCTGATCAAAGGACGATGCAGAAGGCAGGCACTGGAGGAGCATTTCCCGCGAACTGTGGGTAGACGTGTAGGGTTAGCGCGAGATTGTAAATGCTGCAAAAGCGACTGGACATTGGAAAGTGCTAGACTACTTCACGGCACCATAACTTCGTGAATGCACCCCGATAACCAGCCGAAGTGAAGTTTACCCGGCTACCACAAGACCTTGGCTAGTCCCTGCGTGATGCAAATCAGAGACGGTTTATATGGCTGGAGAAATCACTGAGCCATGTTTGGAGAGCACGGTTGAGTCGGAACTCCAACCACATCTGTACCACGGTACTGAAATCCCATGGAATTTGCGCATTCGCCCATTAGTATATAACACCCTGCTTCTGCTGTCCCTCTTAGCTTTCTTACCACCACACAAACATCTTACATAAAGCCAAAACAGTCCGAGGATACCACAAACCATCCACTACTACCAACCCAAAACCAACCCAACACACCAACCAAAAACCTGCCCACCACAACCAACAAGATGCATTTCAACACTATCATCATCTCCCTCTTCATCACCCTAGGGCTCAGCCTCCCCATGTTCCCCAACCCCCGCCCATACATCCCAAGCGGCATGGGGACTCTCCCCCTGATCACCACCAGCGACTTCATTGTCGCACGAGCAAACGACAACGACGCCGATGACGAAGTTGTCATCCCTGACAAATGGAGGCACACTCACGGCAAACTGTTTGAAGAGACAAAGGCAGAGAAGGTGGTGGTTCAGAAGAGGGATTTGGGGGACTGCAAGGAGGGTATGTGGGGTTGCTAGAGGGTTGAGGCTATTGGAAGCCGGGGATGTCAGGGATGTGGGAAGTATACTGAAAGTATACTGCAAAACCCTAATCAGCCTGGAGCCTACTTTGACGTTGGGTCACCTCCTTTGCATGGTTTCATCTTGATGTATGCTGCAGACCTATTTTGACTTTTCGTTGTTCAGTGTGATCTGGTAGCGAGATTTCAATACCACACATAACACACACGCATCCCTTACACTATGTGTCCTCATGCCTTCGCCTTTTCCGCATTCAACTTGTCGTTGATAGGCTGGAGCATGTTCGTCATGAACTGCTCATCCAGGTCTTGTCCCGAGCCCACACCTTTCGGCGGCTCCACACCCCACTCCGGGATAAGCCTTGTCCCACCAAGAGTAATTTCCAGTACACTGCCGCATGGGTACTCTTTCTTCTGTAGCAGATCCAACAAAGAAGTCGCGCATGCATCTGGTGTCAATGCCTTCTCCGTGGTCACAGAGTATTGCTTGAGTTTCGCGGCGTCGAATAACGGTGTCGCCACGGCGCCAGGACAGAGAGTGGTAATCTTGACGCCTGTGAGTGGCTCAGATGGCCCAAGAGACTTTACGAAGCCCACGACAGCGTGTTTCGTTGCGCAGTAGAGCGGAGCTGCTAGGTTGCCTGATATGCCGGCTACTGACGCCTATTCTGGTGTTAGACGTGCCATCGACTACGTGACGGCCCTTCAAGTCGACCCTGATATGTGGTATGACTTACGATGATACAAACACTAGCCCTTTTGCCCTTCCCCAGACTCTTCCTGATAGCCAATCTCGTTAATTTGATTGGATGGTTCACGTTGACCTCCACTTGCTTATACCCTTGGTCTTCGGGGTCTTGCCAGAAGTTGGAAAACGGTGGGTCGAACAGTCCCGCACAGATGGCGTATGCATCGGGAACGTCGTTCCATTGCTTTTCGCACGCGTCGAAAAGTTTGTCAAAGTCGGCCCATCGCGTCACGTCAGATTGCACGTAGAGAATGTTCGACTTCTTGGCAGCAAAGGTATCGAAGTCGGGTGTTGTTTTGAGGTCTGCGACAAGGATGCGTGCGCCGAGATCGTGTGCTTGCTTTGTTACACAAAGGCCGATTCCTGTCCATGTTAGACATACACCTTTCCGACATCGATAGTATTCTGAGTACCAGATGCACCTCCTGTAATGAGGAGTATCTTGCCGTTCAGCGGCTGATCGATGGATGTCATGTTGGCTCCACACTTAACGATCGTATTGTACTCCAGCAAGTGATAAGTCCTTTTCAAGGTTTGTCAGAAGCTGAAGTGCTCTGGTAGTTAACGTCGCTACTCTGTTGTGCGGCTGTCGGATAACAGCTTCCGCGGCCTCGACCGAACATCGCCGTTCCTTTAAATGAGGGGCGACGGGTAACCGAACGCCCCATGGCGGGCGCTACCGGTAGCCGTATGTGAAAAGGCCCTTTTGTTCATGTGTTGTCTGGAAGCTAAGGTCATGCCAGCGATTGGTGATTGATCGCAGAGTCGAGTGGAGAGGCGGAGGGGTGGAGCACCATCCTTATCGTTCTACAGGGTCAAGGCGGGGCGTAATGAGCAAAAAGTAAACTGGCGACGTGGTCCGCAGCGACAGGTAAGATAATGAGCATCGCATCAGTGATCCGGGGTAATCAGTCATGAAAGAGCACATTGAAATCGTGCATGCGGTAGGTTTGGATGGATGCCGATCAGGGTTCCTGCAGGCAGTGATGCGTCATCGACGCGGCATCCTCATCCCAGCCACCCATGGACGCCAGCCACATTCGCGACAACTCAAGCAATAGCAACCATGTCGACCGAAGAATTGATACGCATCACTGTTTTTGCGAACCGCAATGCTAAACTTTCTGAAGATGAGTTCAACGACCATTGGGCGAACAAACATGGCCCTCTCATCACATCATGGCTACAGCGTCACGGCATCATCAAATACGTCCAAGTTAGCTTTCCCATCAGTTCTCCCTACTTGTGCAGTCCCTCGTCATCTTGATACTGCATAATTCGTCTACAAGTACTGATCATTCCAAGTATCATACTACATCTAAACGCAAAGCGCGCCTAAGCATGCCTGCTCTTTCGTACGACGGCATGGCGGACTTCTGGGTGCGGAAGTACGAAGATTTCGAGAAGGCTTACGAGGATCCTTTTTACTCGGAGGTAATAAAGAAGGATGAAGAGTACCTCTTCGATATGGAGAGTTTGCGTGTGACTGCTGGTGTCGACATCTGTGTCATCGAAGATGGAAAGGTGGTGCAAGAGCACGCCCATAAATTCTGAATTGTCTGCTTGCGTAGGCGTAAAAGGAGAGGTCACATCAAGATGCGAATGTGTGAAAGGCTGAGATGCAGATTGGTTCCATCACCTCCATTCCGTGGTACTGCGATGGCCCACAGACGGCGAGCCAACCACACCTGCCGCATTTCATACAATTCGAACGCACAAAGACGCTTTCCCAAGAGGAATATCGCAAATTATTCTGGGCACACTTTCCTACAAGGGCGAGGCAGGAGTCTTATCCGCTGCTTCGTCTACCACTCACTACCTCCCGTATACGTAGAGCCTTCATCGATGAACCTGGTCTCACGATTTCCACCCATTCCGGCTCTTACATTCATTTCTCTTTGCACTGTAAGTTAAATCTCTTCTAGTACGAAGACCTTTCCTGACAAGACAGGAAATCGCAAACATGCCCATCGTCCTCATTCCCTTCTCAGTAGCCGGCAGTCGATTTGGCATGAACGTCGCGCATGATGCTGCGACATTCCAACTAGACACGGCGACATTTCCCGATATTCAGGGTTCAACCATCACTTCAACCCCGTCTTCCAGTACTTCGCACCTGAATATTCAGACTTGGGCTGAAGTAGTGAAGCATGGCGTGCTACCCGGGTCGAAGAAGAGTAGGTCGTTGTGGGATGCAAGGAATCACGAGCTATGCTTACAAAATACAGTGCCCAGATACATCAAAGGCGAGCCGTGGATTCCAGAGAGCGATGCAGTCGCAGACGTCTACGAAGCCCCTGCCATCAAGCCGAAGTTTCACCGATTCCTTGAGTTGCCTACTGAACTCCGCCTCGAGATCTGGAAACTTACCCTCGATGTCGATACGAACGTGATGGAAGTGCGCAAGGCAGTCAGGAGGGGCAATAACCCCGCTCGACCCGGGTTTCTTCCCCAGTTTTGCTATACATCGCGACGAACCTTCGACGAGACGGTCGCCACCGTCATCGGGAATTCGCAGATGATGATTTGCTCATACGCCGACAACCAGTTTGCACGCGCGTTCCTGGCCGCAGAGCCGAGCCGCTTTGACCTCGTTCGTCACTTGGACTTCAGGTTCTTCAGCCGCTTCAAGGAAGAGTTCGGT